ACATGCAACGCGGGGGAAATTGGAACTTTGTTCTTTTATAAAAGTTGTATCATTGTTAATATTAGCGGCATACCATTATTTATTTAACATAATAAATGGAATAAATTGTTCCATTATTTCTTCATGTACTTAAACTTTCGGTATTAATTTATAAAAATCATTGGTTTTCTGCGCTGTAATAAAATGTCAGAAAATCGGATTCAAATAAAAATTTGATCATGGATGATGAATGATAATAAAAATGATAATTGACATGCATTATATTAGTCACACCGAAAGGGTCAGTCGTCTTGAGATTGCTATGTCCCTAGAAAGAGCAGTCTTTTGTGTTAATGGCGTATGTTTTATTTATGACGTAATCGTTAACTGGACGCGTCTGACCAGGACGAATAGTTCACTTTGTTTTGTGGCCAAGCCGAAAATTGTAAAAAAAATATGAATAGGAGAGAAGTTAAGAGTGATATTAAAAAATAATTCAAATAGATTATTCCGAAATTAATATATCATTTTATTCCGTATATGACAAGGAAAAACAAAAGAAAAAGTTTTGCTACAATATTTCAAAGTATCGTTGCAGAATTTATGGTTATTGGAAATTTTTATTTCTGTCACAAAACCCAAATCTCTCATTTTATAAAGAGCTCTTCAAAATTCAAACGAATGCTGCAGACTCAATTTACATATCCACCCTTTCAGTGTCAAAATTATACAATACCTATAAAATTTTCTATGTCTTCTAAAAGTAAATATTGTTTAATTTATGTCCTAAATTGTTAATTTTATCAAATCCGTTGAAATGTCACACTTGCCGTTTTTTGACGTTTCGGCGTATTTGTTAAGTGTCTAATGAAAAACAATAGGCATTTGCGGTCTTTTCTAAGATCTGAAAATGTATTTAAACGTAAAAAGATGTTTTTCAAGTGAAAGAAAAAGAAATATGTCGAAGTTTCAAGGGAAAATATTAAAAAGAAAATAAACCCGAGCTTTTTGTTTTTGTCTAGTCAAAATGTCATTAAACGCCGTTTTTTACAATTTTGTTACAAATATGATAAGTAATATAATACAGTTTTGGCAGTAATTTTTGAAATTACAATTGCACAAAAAATGCTATATATTAACATTGAAATATACATTTCAGGAATTTATTTGAACCCATTTTCGACTACATGTCGAAAGTATTAACGTCACAGTCAGCGACTACTTTTGTCAAGTCATAATGTCACATCATGCTTTTTTACTCGTTTTGACGTTACGTTCTGTATAATTTGACATGTAGTGCCCTACGTCGCAAATATCTCATGCAAAACCATAACTTTTTTTTATAATTTTTTATATACATTTTCTCAACAGATTTTTATCCGAGTCTAATTTGAATTAATAACTGTATCGGTTTACTTGTTCATAGTTGAGATTAGATTTCCTTTTGGATATGCAGTTGGCAAATTGGGCACAGGACGTTTGCGCTTTTTTACCCGTAACACGATAGGAATTTGCGTTTCAAACACTATGGACATTTGCGCTTTAAATTTTGATACGCCTGTAGTAAATTGACCGGATATTTACGCTTTTTACCTTTAATATAAAAAAGAAGATGTGGTATGATTGCCAATGAGACAAATTTTCACAAGAGACCAAATGACACAGAAATTAACAACTATAGGTCACCGTACGGCCTTCAACAGTGAACAAAACCCATACCGCATAGTCAGTATGTCATGTCTATGTCACAATGGTTTCTTATCATTGAACAACAGTTTATAACATTAAAATTCGATAATCAATGAACAGGCATCTCAGTCAAGAATTGAGAAATAGAGACAAGAATATATATTTGAAATGAGGGCGAAATACCAGTCAGGACAACTTACAAGAGCAAAATTGTTCAAACACGAATGTGATGTGGAAAGACTATTTAACTTTTAACCATAAAGAAACTTTTGTAAAAGCGCAAATGTCCAATACAAAAAGCGCAAATGTCAACATTTCAAAAGCGCAAATGTCCTATATGAATTGAAGCCCAAATGTCCATTAAAAACGCAAATGTCCTATGAAAAAGCGCAAACGTCCCGCGCCGGGCAAGAAATCAGATTAAATTATTTTTGTTGTTGTAAATTTTGAATTTGCTTTCAAGAATAGATAGTCATACTCAACCTTTAATACAGGTAATGAAATAAACGCTTCAACTAATAACATTTTTATCCAGAAACTATCAAAAGCGGATAAAAGAAAGCTGCAGTAAAGACAGTGGTTTAAAAAAAATTAAAATATCCTGTTACAATCAAAAGAAAGAGAAAATATCTTTGCTCCAAGGTGATACTATATTAATAAATATAATTTATTTGCACTTTAAGAAATATGTGCTGCTTTTGCTTTTCGGTTCTTTACGTAGCAAGTCAAGCAAACAGCTCATATAAATTATGTGGTGAGCTGCACGAAATGAAATGTTTACGACGCTATGATCCGTTATTTGTACAATGCATGAAAAATAACGTCAAATTAACGTTACCAAAACTAACACCAACACCGTACGCGACGTCTTTACGATATTTTGTTGAAGATCTCACAGAAACTTAAAAATGAGGAACAACATAAACAGTAATGTGTTTAATTTCTAATAATTTTATTAGACTTTTATCCTGTGAGAATCAAATGCACTAATCTTAATGGTGTAGAAGTTAGAGTTCCAAATGGTGAAGTTGAAATCATCCCTTCGTAAATTTTACGGACGCCATCACGAGTTGGTTGACCGTTATGGAATAAACGTTTCACAGATGATATCGGATATGTTCCTTATGTCGTAACTACAATACCCTTCCCTTTTCACGAATGTGACTTACCGAATTAGACTATTTACCGGATTTGTAATAACAAAGGCGACACGACAGGATCTGCTTTCCCTTCCGGAGCACCTGAGATCACCCCCCAGTTTTTGGTGGGGTTCGTGTTGCTTAGTCTTTATCTTTCTATGTTGTGTCATCTGTACTATTATTTGTCTGTTTGTCTTTTTATTTTTGGCCATGGCGTTGTCAGTTTGTTTTCGATCTATGAGTTTGACTGTCCCTCTGGTATCTTTTGTCTCTCTTTTAGCATGCATGAGAAACATAAATTGTAGCATCGATTGTACAAAATATCGTTCTTATTACGGAAAATTACACGCATAACGTCCCGCAGTGACGTTTTGCCGGAATTCGAACGCTTAACGTCGCCGTCGCGCCAAGAGTTAACTCCCTTGAAACTGTATCGGATGCCCTTAAGCCCGACACAGTTGGTTTGTGTCTGTCTCAATAACATTTATTTAATGGTACCCATTTTACTGTAAAAGATGCGCATTTCGCAAAATTTATGTCTCTTTAATGATGATTAAGGTCGAACTATTTTAAAAATCCCAACCCATAACAAACGACGAAGAAGTGATAAACCAAAGAGGACATAACGTTTAGCCAAATCTAAGTCGGTGGTTGTCGTTGGTTGCTGTCGGTTATATACGTATTTTGTTCATTGTTTTTAACATCAATAAGACACTAGTAGTCTTTTCCTTTAGTTTTATCAAATTTTGTCTTATCAGACCTTTTTATAGCTTACTATGATCAATAAATTATGATCATTGTTGAAAGCTGTACGGTGACATTTATTTGTTTACACCCTCGGCCTTCGGTCATTCAGTATTTGTCTCAATGACAATAATACAACATCTCCTATTTTTATACAGAGGTCAACATACAACAATCAACTATAGAGAAGTGTGTATATAATATGCAAAGCTTTTTATCTCGAATCTATAAAAGTGAAGATAGAAACAGTGTAGAACTTTTTAGCAAGTTTTCAATTACCTTTTTGCTTTAAGTGATAAGTTAATACGACGGATGCTTAGCATGAAGCATTTCTTGTACGCAGACTTCAGACTAGGATTTATGACAAACGTAACGATTTCAGTTTTTCCTTTATCAACTTCCCATTCTCAAAGCAGTAATATACCATCAGTTCTATCGTATGGTGTTTACCTGCCTCAATAAATATGTTACACACGTGTCTGTTAGAATTATACTTTATTTATAGGAGTGTGCTTCTGACAGAAAAAAATGCTACTGTAGGGTGTATATCGACACGACACTACACAGGTTTTAAGATTACTATATCGAATCAGTTGATTGATACGATATGTCTTGTGTCTCAACTACTAATAACAAGAAACATGTTTTCAGAAGAGAGACAAAAGATACCAAAGGGGCATTCAAACTCATAAGTCGAAAATAAACTGAAAACGCCATGGGAAAAAAAACGAAAAAAAGACCGAAAGACAAACAACAGTATATATACACAACATAGAAAAACTAAAAAATGAACAACACGAATCCCAAACAAAAACTGGGGTTGTCTCAGGTACTCCGGAAGGGTGAGCAGAACCTGCTCCATTGGTGGCACTCGTCGTGTTGCCAATGTAAGTTGAAACCCGGTGATAATTCTACTATTTAGATATCAGGAAAGTCGTCTGATCTGTTCATTTATGGACTGTGTCTTATTCACTATTATGACATTTTGACTGAGTATGGATTTGCAGATTGTGTGATGTGTGCATAGTAGGAGGCGCTTACTCTGTAGACGCAAGTGGTCTCGCTACATTGGAGGTTATTCGATTCCTTCAGTTTTTTTTTATCTTGAATTCTACAATCGTAATGGATTTACCATATTGTAATATCGGTTTTTGTTGCCTCTAGTATAAGTTCATACAGCTATTACAGTACTGTCCTTTAATTGTCAGCTCTTGATTTCTCATCAGTAGTTCAATCAATTATTTATTCACTAACTTGTTTCTACAGGTGAACTATACCTAATATTTTAGATATCTTCATATAATGCATGGATATATGAATTGACATGTGCATAACCATTTTTTTCTTCATTTATGCAATAACCATTATCAGTAATGTGGAAACTCACTCGTATATGCTTAACAGACAGAAACATCTTTTTAGGAGAACAAACTTTTTGAATACCTAGTATAATAGGTTGTTTAAATTTTAAATCCATTGAACATGGTAACTTCATGATGTGTACCCGATGCATACGTTCACAAATAGTTTACTTCGATCCAAGCTTCACTTCCATTTTTCATTTCAACGACAACACTTTTTGTTTGCTGCAAAATCATTGGTCGTTCTTAGAAGATCAAGATAACCTCTCATAATCGGTTCTGAATCAATAATGAACATGGTGTGGCACACTTCCCGTGGTGGTATTGTGATGGTTCATGTAAAGCTGTTAACGCCATCACGTAGACACGTGAACTTTCCTGTTGCTGGATTGTACCCACTGCCGTTATTAAGAAAACATTATCAAACTTAATTGTAGCACTGTTCGAGTACAAAGCCTGGTCCGTTGAAAGATGTACTTGAAATGCAACTGGTTCAGCATTAGCTGTGAAAAGAGAGGTCAACAATATTATCAATAAGAATATGTACCTCCTGCATTAGACATATAATATAGCGGTTGTCCAGCAAATGTATCGTCAAAGTTTTATACAAAACTTCCAGACAAAATATTATTCACAAACACATCATCCTCGGAGACCACTCAATTTTGAAAGATAAAAAAAGTAATGGACAGTGATGAAAAAGGATTGCTATAGATGGCAGCCAACTCAGACAGTGGCATTTATGAGAAATGTATTATTTCACTGGCATATAACTGAGTAATTGATAAACAAAAAGAGGTCAGTGATAACAATGGTATGTAAACGCTCTATGTACGAGACAGGCACATTATCATGTTGTCAATTATCAAAACTGCAAACTGTAACCATATACAAGTCAATTATAAGTTTCTTACTTTCCAACTGAATTACGTGATTTTGCAGTTGGACTGTACTCCTTTCGAGTGCCTCTACCCTGGTCAACAGTTGCCTGTGTTCTTCATAACATGCCTGTAAATCTGGGAAGAGTTGATTATGTTGACCAAATGCCACGGTTCCATATCCAATGATTAGAGTTAACCATAAATTTTTAGTGTGCATTTTGTACCGTTAGTTACCTATAATGAAACATTTAAGGTTCATCTATACACTTAAACAAAAATGGCTGTGTTTACACCATGAAATTTTCTCTGCGTACAGACAAAACTGAGTAATTTTAAAAGTTTTAATGCCTGGCAGCACCTAGATAAATTAATGTTACATCCAATTTATGTTCTAAAAACTTAAAACACTTTACGGATTTTGATAAACATTTTCTTTCCTTGCCACAGAAGATGGTGAAATAAACTAACACCTGAGTTTTCTTTGATACAGTCCACTCATTTACACTATTTAAATCACCTCTGTTGTGAGTAGATTTCTATTGTCCCTCTATTGTCCACATCAATCAATATAATTCAATACAATCATTACCTGAGGGGGGCCATCTCAAAGATTTCACATGACTTTGTTTATTTTTACACCACCTGTGGCAAGGAAAGAAAATGTTTAGCAAAATCCACAAAAGTTTTTTTCTTTTTAAAACACAAAATGAATACAACTTGTATATATCTAGGTGCTGCCAGGATTTAACACTATTAGAATTACACAGATTTGTCTGCATTCAGAGAAAATTTCATGGTGTAATCACAGCCATTTTTGTTGAAGTGTATAGATGAACCTTAAGGTATAGATAATGAAAATGAATACGGTAACAATGCATGCATTAGCAATAAAAAAATAAGAACATACTTCTTGATTTGCTGAAAAAGTCATAATAATTATCTTTTCTTTGCATTGCTGACACAGGTAAAAAGAGATAACAATCAGTGCATGTTTTATCTTTCAAAATACAAAACTCTTCAGTCGCTTAATTTCAATTGGATATCAAAGCAGTGGAAGAAAACATCTAATAATTTATCAGTGTTTCAGCGTTGAAAAATCTTATAAGGAAAATAACCAAATTGATTAAGCCGTAATGTTCCCCTATTGACGAAGTCAAATGTACTATAGGTTTTTACACCGTCCGTCCGTCAATCAGTGCACTTTTATCCTCAATGCCTCAATCTATTGATTAGATATATTGCTTATAATCATTTCTAAAGTAGTTACAGATCATATTTTAGTTCCGGAGAGTTAAAGGGATTTTTTTTTTGCGGATGGTTTGACCCTTGCACAAATATCTTAATTGTTTCAGCCATTTTCTGTAATGCCTATCTCGATTGATTATATATTTGTTTTTCAGTCAAAGCATCAGAAATCACAGATCCAGAGTGTAAAAATTGTTTTGATATATCAGTATGTATCACTTTTTTCTGTAACGCCTAAATTCATTGATTTGTTAATTCGCTTATAGTCTCATCAAAAGAAGTTACAGATATGGAAAATCTACTGTCTGATGTGAGAACACAATTCCTACAAATGAAAATAAAAAATTTGAACTAATTGAAGAAAACATCATTGACCTAAAATATTGGTCAATGAAAAAAAACCTCATCTTTTCCGGGTTACAGTATCAAAGTGATGTGAGAGTAGAAGACAAACTTCGGAGTCTTATAAGCAATGAACTTAATATAAAACATTATCCAGAATTCGGCAACGTACACAGATTTGGAAAACAAGGGCTAAATAGCTCAAGCCTTATTGTTGCGCGGTTTTTTGTATAGGAAAAACCTTGAAATGGTTCTTTCAAATGCAAATCGCCTTAAAGGAAAAACCATTGGCATAAAAGAACAACCCCCGATAGAAATTGAAGCACGGCGGGAAAAAAAAACAATATCCCATACTGAAAAAAGCCAAGGAGGATAGGAAAAAGCAACTCTTGTACGCGAAAAGTTCTACATCGACGGGAAATTGTATATTACGGACACTGAACATGCAACGCAAGATAAAACAAAGGAGAAAATTCAATGAAACCCTCCAAATCCACCTAGATCTAAGAGTCCACGGAGGTACTCAAACGACAGTCATATAAGAAGAAACTTAGGAAATAGTGACAGTTCACCGCCATCCTCTTCTACTGATACCAGCTCCACAAATTGATATTAATGTAGTCATGGAGAGCAATCATTCAAATTGGATATTCAAAATAATGTTAGTAATGACTTTATTCTGGAAACAAACCAATGTAATGAAACATAGTAAAACAATAGCGAATAAAAGATCCGGCGGAATAATTGTAGGTTCCAAAGATAACCTAAATAACAAAATTGTAATCTAAGATACTAGTTGTAAATATGTTCTATGGTTTAAAGTTGAAAAAAATGTATTTAACTAAGACCAACCAGTTATATTCGGCAGGGCAGTCGGGCTGGAGGCCGGGCGGGCGGCTACTAAACAGTTTCCGTGCAATAACTTGAACACGCTTTTTTAGCTTTTATCGTTGTTGAGTTCTAGTAGACTTTTAAGTAGCGAAAAGTGATACTTAGAGGGTTGTCCGTGCAATAACTGGAAAACGCTTTGACGAAATATTTCAAGTTGAGATATGTTGTTTCCTGTGACTAAATGAATGTCAAGTTCGATTTCACGATTTAAGCTTTTATCGTTGTTTAGTTGTAGACCTTTAAGTAGCGAAACATCATACTTAGATTTATTTTTGGCCTTTCCATTTCTGAACCCAACAACAATTCATTTATTTTTTTCACTTGATCCTGATGGGGGTCCAGATTTGCAAATATCATTTTCATGCAGGAAAATCCAGTTTGCTTTCAATCTGATAAACATATCGGTCGTTTTACTTGTCGAAATGGAAGTGTAGTTATTGTATTTGATCCATTCAACTTCTAAAAACTGTTACCAATTGTGAAAGTTTCGAGTCTAGCAAATTGTCATCAGACGTGAACAACCCACTAAGCATTTCTGTACTGTATAACGATACTCCAAGAACGACTGAAAATAAATGCAAAGAATATAAAACAAACCAAACTGGAAATAAAGTTAAAACAAACAAATGTGATGTACTAAAACAGATGTTTTTCAAAAGAATATTATATTGTGAAGAGATCGAAAATCTTGATTTTCAACTTAATAGTATTGACTTAAATTTGGTTAATATACTAGTAAATTGAATCGATACACTAGTAGATCACCTTTGTAGCCTTTTTATTTATTCTGCTCAAACGACTTTTGGAACAAAAGAAGTCAACGCACAAACTCTTATAAGAACTAGTAAAATTAGAAATAAACCATGGTTTGATGCTGAATGCACGGTAGCTATGTACAGATTAGGAAATCGAAAAGAAAATATAAGTCAAAAAGTTATATAATAGGTAAATCCAGAAATCACATCGGACGCACCAAATTTACGAAGTGATATTTTCATATACTATAAAAATGCTTACCTCTGCTTATAACAGCGATGTTTTCAATAGCACTGACAATTTGCAGAAGGACTGTACATTTACATCACGCGAATTTTACATTTAATGAAAAATATAATGTAATAGCAAAAACTTATTTCGTTCAATATATGATACTTCAATGCTGATTAACGTACCAACTTGACAAAAAACAATAATTAGTCACAAAATTACTCAGTCAAGGTTATATTCAGCTTATATTAATAGCATCTTGTGTTGTTTGTGTTTATCTTTTGTTATACGCAGTCAGTAATAATTTCGATTTGTGACCCATTTTTAAAGGACGCTTAATTATGGTAACGGCATGCATGATGTCACAAATCTTTACTCTGATTGGACGAAATTACGAAATTGAAAAAATGCTACAATAAAAGGAGAACATTACGGACATAAAATCAAACTTAAAAATTAAATTATCCAGATAATTAAAATTAAATTCAGGTAAAGAAGGTGTCATTGTCATCACAATAAAATTATTTGGATTTTGTAGGCTTAACATTTAATACATGAGTAGGTGAATATCACTGACTGGCTCATTAGATCTACCAGATCAATTAGGTTATCAATAGCTATAACTATATCTTATCGACTTTGTGAACTTGCAAGTGCAGTCTAAAACTTCTAAGGCGTCAAAATAATTTCAAAGAGTACAAAATACTATACTTGAAATAAAGAATATCACAATGCATATATCGCAAATTTAATTACGTGTCAAAAGCTGTATTATATAGATTATCTCCCTTTGGTGTCCGTCCTTCCCCGATATACACACCGAAATATGTTGCATCTCTAATTGTAAAAGTGTGCTCGACATATAGTTACATGTATAATCGACATTTCATCATGGTTCTAAACTGTTTCAAGTTTGTTATTCATTACAGATTGTAACCTACTGATATCTTATGTTTATGTCTATTTCACAGCTGTATATATACATTTAGTTAAGTACCAAGCAGTATATATTTGAATTCTTTAGAGAAATGTGCATAGATTCAACTTTCAGAATCGTTAGCTTTTTGGCGTCAAATTGTGTGCACTTTTTTAACTGTGATAAAAAAAACCTGATAAAGATTCATGGTCTGTTTTAAACTCTATGCTCACATCTGAAGGCGTCAGATATCTTTTTTTAAACATAGTACTTGTTTTATACTGCAGCTAGAACACTTCAATGTTGATTTGATGTCACGTCACTTTTCATCACAATTTGGATCTTGATTAGGGATGATAAGTTATATTTGTATAAACATTTTCATAACAACAATTTTATAACATCGACCTAGTATTGTATATATATATACGCATGGCAAGGCTATTCGTTGATTGTTGATTTCTTGGGGTTCCTGTTGAGGCTATGGTGTTGGTTATTTTCTTCTTGTTTCTCCTGTTTGATTATAGTTTGCTTACAGTGTAATTTTTCCATGTCCTGTTTTTTTTCGTTTTGTCCTCCTTCGTGCTTCTTTTGCGTCTCATCTATTAATTGTTTGCATTTATTAAATTCCTCCTGTCCGTTGGAATATAAACGCAAGTATTCATGATTAAGAGAGACAAACACATATCTAAATAAAGGAAAATTATCTCTTTTCTAAAGTTTATTTGAAATTCAATTAAAAACAAAGTATTCAAACTTTATAGCAATTGAACATTGTAAGACTATACAAACGTGATCACCATCATGTGAACCCCAAACAAACGTGCATCAATCATTATATACTCGTTTACAAGGTTCATTTCGTTTCCGCATTTCAACAATTTTATTTTGTCGCTGAAGTTCAATTGCATTTATTCTAAACAAGGCAACCCGCCGCATTTTTGCGCCTGTCCCAAGTCAGGAGCCTCTGGCCTTTGTTAGTCTTGTATGTTTTTTAATTTTAGTTCATTTATATGTTTTGGAGTTTAGTGTGACTTCCATTTTCACTGAACTAGTACACAATTTTATTTAGGAGCCAGCTGAGGACATCCTCCGGGTGCGGGATTTTCTCGCTGCGTTGAAGACCCATTGGTGGACTTCGGCTGTTGTCTGCTCTCTGGTCGGGTTGTTGTCTCTTTGACATATTCCCCATTTCCATTCTCAATTTTATTAACCCTTCATAAACGGTTTTAAATTAGTCACGAACATGGTGTGGCTAACTTTCCATGACAATGTGGTGATCTATCTAAAGCTATACATGTCATCGCGTGGACAGGCAAACTTCTCTGTCCCTAGGTTTCATTTCCTATAGTACTATCGCATCAAACTTAATCGTAGATTTGGTTGTGGATGAAGTCTGGTCTGTTGAAGGTTATGATTTAAATATTACTGGTTATACATAGCCTGGGAAAGAGATGTAAATATTATTTTGATAAAAATGCGTACTTTCTGCATCTGTGTAATAAAAATAAGAAAACAAAGACAAATCAAGAAAGTATTCAAGACCAAAAGCAACAAAACATTGACTGTAACGCAAAAGGGTTCAAATAGATTGCAGTTAAAAAATAAACAACAGACTTTTCTTTGACGATTGACCGATAAATTTGAATTATTTGAGAATGGAATCACCCACTTGTCATCAGGTCATAATATTTATGAAAAATGAACTATAGAGAAGTGTACAAAATTTAGTGTCTGTTCAATATTTGTCAGAGGCAAAAATGTTTCTGACCATCTAAAGATTCCTGTAAAAAAATATATAAATCAAATCAAATCAATCATGATCAGCTTCTTTTTCTATTTTAAAATTTATTATACCTGGGAATCAACAAAAAGACTGGAGGAGTTGTACATCTACCACTAATTCAAGTATGTGATATGGTTATCAAAATTTAAGAACCCGTTTAGACAAGTTTTTCCTGTATACTTTCATTTCATATAAATACACTTCAGAATGCACTACAAAACTGGCAAAAAGGGGAAATAACTCATTATTCTGCAATCATGAGTATTTACTGGTATTTTAAGAAAAATAATCACATGACCATGAGGACTAAGAAATCTCTCATGACCCTAATCACTAATAACATGGTTGTTTATTTTCTGCATCCTTAAAATTTTTATCACAAACATACATTAAAACTTTCAGGTTCTCTTTACCATGAATCCACCTTTGTCTGGTTCTTAGAAATATATGTATTTGGATGTTTTTAATAATTCTAAAACACTAATCCAGCTATAAATATAAATCCTGATCCTGTCTTTAAGATTTACATAGCTTATCATTCATTTGATAAAATTATCTGCCATCGAAATAGGTAATCAAGTTTTTAGAGGAAAATACAAATCAATTTATACAAAAAATTAAAAAGAAATAGTTCTTAATTGTTATTTGTTATAAATGTCTTGGGTGCATGTCTGTTTTTAAACCACCTTTTGATGACATCGTTGATCTACAGTAACAGACTTTACATAATAATATCTGCTAACATGGAAGACAACTCATTCATGTCGGATCGAGATAAGACTATTTTGACTCATAAATAAACTTGTACCTGTATCCTATCTACTAAGATACATAAACATTGGAAACTATACATTTTCACTGTATTTTACGTCGTTCAACATAATTTTATAAACAACAATATCTGTTCTTTTCATCAAATATAAAAAGAAAGGTAATATGGGGTATCCATCCATGACACAAAATTAGTACTTGCACAGCAAAAAAACACAAAGGCAAAAGGAACAGCACTTGTATTGCTGTTCGTCATCTCAAAGTCACAATAAGGACTTTAACAGGGAGCAAATGATCTCACCTCATTGCAAATATAAGACGACTCCAAGCACCGGTTTGTGTGAAATTCTTTACAAACTGACGATCACGCCAAAACTGTGAATTCAAGATCAAAGCCATGGAGTACTATCAATAAAATAAATCTGGCAAAGTTCAAATATTTCTGTCATGATTTAGCACGCCAATCCCACTGAATCGCGCAAAAACAATACAAACATTTTGACAACTACGGGTCACATCGAGATATATGTTAACTAATTTGGCAGGAATTAACGTGTGTATAGGAAAAAAGTTCGGGCAGACTTTGTAAGATGTATTACCACCAACTCGGGCCCAGTCAAGGAAAAACCGAAAATTAGTACACATTTAAAACAAAATAGCTCCTACGCATAGATGTAAATATCAAACTATGTAGAATATATTGGTAATTTAGGTATCAAATGAAAGTCGTAGAACTGGTGATCCTTGTAGAATACCTTTTGACTGATAATTTTGAATAATAAAAACAATGTACGAATGAAATCTAAAAAGGAGGGCATAAAATTATATTGCCTGTACCAGCACGCTCTGATATATAAATTACGGTATATTGACCCCAAACCCCCTTAATTGCTTGTAATTGAAAAAAATAACATAGAAAGCAATGTGGGCCAGGAATAGGTGGTGTGCGTCTTAATAAAATTTTAGTACACAAACTGGCCTTATAGTGAGACAATGATGTAGCACACATAGTGGAAAGCTATCCCAAGAATAAAAACGTCATAACTTAAAAAACATAAAGAGCATACGTACACTTAAATTTTATTTGTTTTATGATGGTTTGGTGTTTCATGTTTTATACCTGTATACTAAGGTCGTTCCATAAATAGAATTGGAAATCATGCTTCGGTAAATCGTGGCAACTCCGCCTTAACTGTGCACTGAACCCTAGACCACTTGACCAACTATGCTATATATAATTCAGATTTCGTTAGCCGAGTGATGAGTGATCCATTTCCTCGTCGGCTTCATCTAGGGTTGTAGCATATTACATGATCTAGTATATGGCATGTAGATGGAATACTTTGCAGATCAGCTGGTTTTATTTTGGATATTGTAGTTCGTAAAAAATGATAATACATACAATGCAGTCACAACAATGTTTTTTTACGCGTCTTAATATGTGACAATCTAGACGATAGTCATGTTCTAGCATATAACTAAATTTCTTCAAGGCTAACGCCCCGATATACTTCGTCTGAAATTTAGCCAAATAATTATAGATCTGTGAATTAAAGAAGATGTGGTGTAAATGTCAATGAGAAATCAACTAAACGGCAAAAATATAAAAACCACAACCAGAGCAAGAAAAACATTGATGTAAATGT